AAACTCCAGCTCCTAAACTTATTTTATAATGTTACACCAATAATAAAGAATAAAAAGGAATCCCATGCTACATTGTCAAAAAACAATTTATTCTGTATAAAAACAAATGGTAAGTAAAAGTAACAGTTACATACTTCTTTGTTTCTAGCATATCTAGCACATGGTAGAAATTTAATGGTTACTTACTGAATGTTAAGTGAAAAGTGATAATTAAATCCTGGTACATGATTAGTTTCCCTGCAACTTCCATTTAATTTTCTCTTCCATGGATTCTTCTGTTTCTTTCTCTTTTTAAAACTCTTCTAGTTTATCATTACTTATTTTCAGAGCTTTTACAAAATCTTCCTAAATGGTTTCCCCTCCACTTGCTATTACCCATTCTAATATGGCTGTGTGACTTACAGAGCTGTAGACTTAATAAAGAATAAAGTTCACTTTGGGAGGCCAAGGTGTGTGAATCATGAGGTCAGGAGATCCAGGCCAACATGGTGAAACCCAGTCTTTACTAAAACGACAAAAATTAGCTGGATATGGTGGTGCATGCCTCTGATCCCAGCTACTCTGGAGGATGAGGCAGGAGAATCACTTGAATCCAGGAAGTGGAGTTTGCAGTGATCTGAGATCGTGCCACTGTACACCAGCCTGGCGACAAAACGACATTCCATCTCAGTCAATCAATCAATCAATCAAAGTTGTTGGATTAACATGATATATTACTGTGTATAAAAAATAACACTTTTGGTTTGTAAAAATATTGTCTTCACTGTCTCATTAAAAAAATTCTTATATCCCTAAAAGAGACAGACAACAAGTATTAATATTTACTAGTAAACAAATTTTGGAAAATTAAATCCTCACTAACATATCCATGGCTCATGAGTGACAAAGCAAGCACTTGAATGCAGATACCCTGATACCCAGTTCTGTTCTCTAAATGATACACTGAAATAATATTCCTATTCTAGACTCTTAGAAACCTTGTGCCTAAAACCTTCAGGCAAAGAAATCTCTTCATCTGCCATAAATGGCTCTTCACAACGATCTTGCATTCCATTCTAATTTCTCATTCTTTCATTATCCCTTTGGTTGTACATCAATACCTTAAATATACAATTTTTAGTCCCATATTTTAAATTTTCTCTCATGAGACAACTTATCTGGAAAATTCATCTTTCTTATTTTTCCTTGTATAGGTGCTGGTCAGTTACACAGACCCCTTTTTGTCATTCTCCATTGGCCCTAGGTTTTATAAACTACTTGAATTTTATTTCTAAAACATATAGTGGTCAGATAAATATTTTATAGCAAATATAGAGGCATTAAAAATGCTGACATAGGTTTATAACCAATTTGGATGGATATATAAAGAAAATTCGTGTTTCTTTTCATTTGTGGAATACATGTTGAGGGAGACTACTTATAGGAACAATAGCAGATCCACAAGATCAAATAGCTTACACTTATAAAACTGTTTAAAATTGGTATGGATTATGACCCCCTAAGCTGCATAACATCTCATTACAATCAGTGTGAGTCATGTTACAAAAACAAGTCTCCATTGTTACATGAATTATGATTTTTTTACTTGAATTCAGACACCATTTCAAAAACATGATTTCAAGTAACAAAAATAATACATAATAAATACACACACATATATATATATGTGTATATATATGTATACATATATATATATATATTTAACCCTAAATATTCTAATATTCGAAGTCACAAGAAGTCTGATTTTAATTTTCAGTTTTCAAGTGTATTGTTTAGGTCATTAAATAACTTAATGAGTTTCCACTGTTTATGAAATACTGCTTCCTAGTAAAGGAAACCCCCCAATAGAACACAGTATGATTTCCGACTTCAGGAACTTTTGGAATTATTAAGTAGAAGAGAATTAGACAAGTTCATAAATAACTATAAATAAGGCAGAATGTAATTAATATTTTACAGAGCGACAAAGCATATATTCTGAGACAATGGAGAAATCACTTTTGGCTCTGAGAGTCAGGCAAAGAGAAAAGATTAGACCTGAATTGTATGTGCTAAAGAGAGCAAAACAATCTATGTAACTAGAAAAAGTGTTAGGTACTGGAGGGAAAAGGGAACACATGGATTTTGAAAGATACTCAAACGAAGGTCATGGAGTGTTCAAATGTTTCCAGCAGACCAAAGATACTATAGTGTGTAGAGTAGAAAAATTATTTGAGGAAGTAACAAAATTTTAAAAATAAATCTAACAATACTATCCAAGGTGTATGGGAAGGGAAAAAACATTAGCAGTCATTCTAGCTTGGAACCTTAGCAAACCTAGGTATACACTCATATATCAACTGCTCTTTAGGTAAACATTTGTTGTTTTCAGGGTAAATGAAAGTTAAATGGTTCAACTCTATTGTGTGATGTCTCAGGGTGGTATTGAAGCCAAGGTTATCATAGCTAAAAACCTAAATATACGGACCTTTTCAAGTTTTTAACTAAGTGAAGTCTCTGAACTGCATTTTTCATGCATTTATTTCATATTTCTTGCTTTCCTGCCCTGCCCAGGCATGGAGGTAACAGTGAGGACAATGACATTGTTCTTTCTCTCCTCCAGCGGGAAGCAAATGTTATGTAGGGTCACAGCAGGGCAATGTACCTTATTTCCCGAAAACTTTTTCCTAACTCCTAATTTAAACACACTAATTACCTTAAAAGAGAAATTTCTGCTGAAAATATGATAATAAATGCATTCTGTCCTGTGCATTAGAGCAAGGCGCTTTTAAAAAATGTTATGCCTTTATGTAAGGGAAAAGAGTTGGAGGTTTGCTATATTAGGGAGAATATGTGCTAGCTTTATTTGAGACTTCATTCCTCACACAGTATAATTCTCTAACGGCAGAACAGGAAGTTTCTTTTTGGTGTTTTCACGTATGCATCTCAAAACCAACTTTCTTTTCAAGATACTGATAAGGTAACTTGTAGATTGACAAATACATTCAACTTTTTAGGAAAACGTTTTTAAGTAGTTCTCATTTTAAAGCCAACATTTTGAAATAAAATGTACTACGAGTTATTTTTTAAGGACAATCCTTGGAAATGTTAGTTTCTTGATTACATCAGTTCTTGACTAAATTTTACAATTTCTGAGAGTGAGATTGGCATATGCATATCTTCCTTGTCATCTTTTTATTCAAATAATAACAAAGATCATAAGGAAACATGAATCCTGTGACAGGTGACATTCTCACTTATATGTTTGTATGTATCTCTTACTCTTTGGCTTATTATAAGTGAACTACGTAAGACAGAGGAGTTTCATACTGGTTATTAAAATTTTCTTCATAGTCATCTTATCAAAAGCCAAGACTCCTCATGTGCTCCCCTCACATTTTGGGGGGGAAGTTATTTGTGTTTGTGTGCATGTGTGCGTGTGTGCGCATGTGTGTGTGTGTGTGTGTGTGTGTGTGTGTGTGTGTAATAAATGGATCATATTACAAAGTTTTTACTCCACCGAAGTAGTCTTTTGGAATGAATAAGGTTGAAAATGAATATATACAGTGGGAATCTCTAAGACTTAAGGAAAAAAATCTCTGCTTAAAATTTAGATTAGCGGTAGGGATGATGGTCATATTTTCTAGTAGATTACACAGAATTTTTTTTTTAATTATTCTTACAGAATTTAAGAACTTAAGAAGTTACCTAAGAGCAACAACTCCATATGAAAATCCAGCATGCATTTTAGGATCTCATTGTCCACATGACATGTACAATTTTCTTGCTTCACAGGGAATATGCCATCATGTAAACTCAACCTACATGTAAAGTTGTTTTCTCTGGCTTGGCCATATGTAGCCTTTTTAAGGTGATATGTGGCCTTGAAATTGAAATATATTTTCATTTAGTTCCCAAAGACTGCAGTAATGAACACATTTCCAATGTGCTAGTTAAAGAAAATGGGCACAAGTGGTCACTGAAATATACTATGGAAAAAGGAGAAAATAATTAAGACATATTTAGGAAAGCATTTAATTATTTATCAAAGATTGATTTGGTGGAATAACAATGTTGTAAAATTGCAAATAATATGATTGTTTATTATTTTCATAGAATGTATGTTGTAGAAAAATGCTGGACCTGGTATAAATTCGAATCTGCTTTGCAATGTGAACTCTAAAACTATTTTTCTTTGAAATAGAGTTCCTCCTGAAGTGATTAATTATAAATGAATTTTCAGTTACCACATTTTTATGCTATTTTAGGTGTCAAAGGAGAAGGAAATATTTGACAACTGAGTCCAAATTTCTGTGAATAAAAATAATGTCCAAATGAAACATTTGCATTTCAACATTGTCCAATTATGTCATAGCATGACCTTCCTTGGAATAATACATATAAATAAGATTTCTTGCTATTCTTATGTAGTAAAATATTAGTAGAAATGATTAATCAGGTCTTAATCTAAAGTGCTTTAATCTCTAAAGGTAAAATGCAAATCATTAATTCCTATCAAATAGACTTCAATTTGGTTGTTTAAATCTAAAAGTGATTATTTTTAAAGTTTGCATTTTCTCTGTGGCAATTATAGTGAAATACAACAATATATTGTTGCATTTTATTGTTTCAGAGAGATTAATATTTTTCAAGAAAGGGCATTCTAGATATCAGAATTTAATTTTTTATTACGTTTTTCTGTTTGTTTAAAGCCACTACACAGTGATATGACATTGGATTACCAGAGAACGATGGCACAAAGCATTTAAGAATGTTAGATATAATTATTTCATAATATATTTCTAAATTAAGCATAGAGATGAACAAAAATAGTGTGTTACTGGACAAACTATGGATTCATTAGTCTATTTCTCAAAGTGCCTGCTTATATTATGATAAAATATTTTTTATTTTGATAGGTGTCTAAAATTAGAGCACTAGTTTCAGTGTTTTGCATTTGTAAGTACCATCAGAATTATATTAAACTTTATAAAATATGCTTTGCTTTTTTTTTTTTTTTAGCAATCATATAAGGAAACAATGATTTGAAGTTTAACATGAAATCATACAAATAAAATATGTATAAACAATTCCACATTGAGTCATAACACAAATAGCAAAGGACAAAGTAAAAACAAAGAAAACTAATTGGCAGCTCTATACAGTTGGACACAATTGTGTCTTGTACACTAGAAAGTCTTTTACAAAATAATCATCTTAGATCAACAGAAGACTAATCTTCAATGTCGTCCTGAAAGATGGGTTGCTTTAACATCTCCTCTTGTTTTCTACAATGTTCTCCTTTTCCATGGCTAGTAATTGTTTTGGTGATTGCCACCCCCTTGAGATGCCTTGCCATAAGTGCTCTGTTGGCCACTGTAGTCTGCATATCCCTGTCCATATTCATAGTTCCCATAGTTATACACAGTATAATCATATCCACCATAGCCACTATAGTTTTAATCACCACCATAGGCACTATTGTAATTTCCATATCCTTGACCATAATAGTTATTAAATCCTTGGTTCCAGTTTTGGCCCTGACCTCGGCCACCAGCTGCAGCACCTCTTCCACGTTTTGTTGTTGCTGTTGCTGCCTATATACCTCTTTGGGTTGTGCAACTTTGATTTCACACTTCCCAGAAGCAATTTGATGATATCTGCTTTCTAACAATTTTTTTACTGGCTCCTCATCGGTATATGTGATAAAACAAAGTCCTCTTCTTTCATTTGTTTTTGTATCCATGGGAAGTTCAATGTTTTCAATTCCAAAGCCTCCAAAATATTCTTTAATTTGTTCTTCAGAAGTATTCAGGCTCAATCCACCCACAAACACTTTTTTGGGAGGTTCTTTCCCTTTTTTTTTTTTTTTCTTAAATTTCATTTTAAAGCTTTGGCCCTTTTGGGATCTATCAATTTGCCATCCAGTTTGTGTTCTTTCAGTTCCAAAACCTTATCAACACTAGAAGCATGTTTGAAATGCACAAATCCAAATCCTCTTGATCTCTCAGTGACTGGATCTGTTTCAATTGTGCAGTCTACAACTTCCCCAAATCGAGACAGATATTCCGTCAGATCTTTTTTGCTTGTATCCCAGCTCAAGCCTCCAATAAACATTTTACCGTCATCCTGCTGATTCTTGCTCGCATTGATCTTGGATCCCTTTGCGAATTCCCCTGTGTTGCTGTACTCGTTCATGTCCTCCATGGTGGCGGAGCTGTCTGCAGGCGGGTGCTGGGGCGCAGTCCGGGTGGCTGCAGCAGCGGCGGCGGAGCGTTGTATGGAGCTGGATTTAGAATGGCGGCGGAAGAGTGCTTTGCTATTTTTAAAAAGAAATTATTTTTCCTTGATTTCTTTACTTTTTTCCTTCCATTTTTTTAGGGTGTATTTGGAGAGAAGAATTGAACAGGCAAATTCCTAAATGACAATATGTCTTCAATTTATGACTATTTTCTTCAAGATCAATAGTAGGGAGATCGCATTTTATCACACTTTGCTTTATTGCTCTGTGCAGATGTGCTTTTTGCGTGTTGAAGGCTTATGGCAATACTTCATTGGGCAAGTCTGTTGGCACCATTTTTCCAACAGCATGTGCTCACTTTGTGTACCTTTGTCACTTTTTGATAATTCTTGCAATATTTCAGACTTCGTTCTTATTATTATATCTGTTATGGTGACCCGCCATCAATGATTTTTGATCTTACTATTGTGGCACAATCTCGGCTCACTGCAACCTCCGCCTCCCCAGTTTAATTCTTGTGCCTCAGCCTCTCTAGTAGCTAGGATTACACGTATCTGCCACTACACCCGGCTAATTTTTATATTTTTAGTAGAGAGGGTTTTGCCATGCTGGTCAGGCTGGTCTTGAACTCCTGACCTCAGATAATCCGCCCTTCTTGGCCTCCCAAAGTGCTGCGATTACAGGTGTGAGTCACCGCACCTGGTCAAACTTTTATATGCACTGGAAAAACAGATACTCCTGTGTCTCATTTTTTAGAGGTGGTCTGGAACAGAAGCTGTAATATCCCCAGGTATGCCTGTATTCAGTTTTGAGAACTTTGGGAAACTTTTACATTTCTCATTTTAGATGTTTAGCAAAACAAGAAAATCTTACTTCTCAAAACATCAAAACTTATTCATTGTTTTTCAGATATGGTGACTGATTTTTACTTCAAGAAGAATTCTCATGTTACTCATAGCCCATTTATTTAAGGGGCATACTGTGTGATAACTCTGTTTACATCAGATATGTATGGATCTTGGCATGATTCACTGGAGTCTTGTAGTTTTTCTAAATGTCACTATGGTGAATACTTGACGATGATGATGATGATCAGCATATTTCCAATATGGTGTATTTGTAATAGTCTGTAATTTACCCCAAATTCTTTTTTTTTTTAGTATCTTAGTAGAAATTTTGGGGGCATTGTAATGAATTTCAGAAAGTCAAATACCACAAACACACATTAGCTGTTGGCTGATAACTTATAGACATTTTTATATCTAGCATTCCCTTTAATGTATCATTGAGCTGAAATTATTGTATGCTGTTCTCTCATGTTCTGAAGGCTACATGTTGTTTTACTTAAAAGCATTTTTACAAAGCTAGCGTGCTTTCTTAACTGTAGCCCTTTATCCATTTGGAAATTATATACATTTAAGCTAATAGATTATTATTAAAAGTGACTACCTCCAACTTTTCCATTATCAATACTTTTGCAACCTAAAACATTTGAAGCTGCCTCACTAAAATGATTACCATTGGCAATTTTCTCTTTATTTGTGTTAAAAAACCCCGAAATTTCTGTCAGCAGGAATGAAGTTACCTCTGAGAATTGATATATTAGACCTAAGGCAATGTTTCATGACTTTTACTTGAAAACCGATAGTCACGCCGGGCGCGGTGGCTCAAGCCTGTAATCCCAGCACTTTGGGAGGCCGAGGCGGGTGGATCACGAGGTCAAGAGATCGAGACCATCCTGGTCAACATGGTGAAACCTCGTCTCTACTAAAAATACAAAAAATCAGCTGGGCATGGTGGCGCATGCCTGTAATCCCAGCTACTCAGGAGGCTGAGGCAGCAGAATTGCCTGAACCCAGGAGGTGGAGGTTGCAGTGAGCCGAGATCGTGCCATTGCACTCCAGCCTGGGTAAAATGAGTGAAACTCCGTCTCCAAAAAAAAAAAAAAAAAAAAAAAAAAAAGAAAACAGATAGTCACTGCCAAGATAACAGTGGTTTGCTATAGGGAATATTGTGCAGTTTTCAGAATCATTCTTATTTAATTCTTTCTATTTGCGCAAGGAGTTGTATCCATTCCAATGAAAATGGCATTCTTTCATTGCTGAAATTATATTTTTAATAATATCAACAGGAAATTAGTAAATTCCAGGCCTTTCACCATACCACAAATTAGCTCTTTGTTCTCTATCACTTAAATTATTTTTTTAATCTTCATCTAATTCAGTTTGCTGTGTGTGTAATTTAACTGCTTCACTTCTTTTTCTATTGTTTTAAATTCCCTTATATTATTTCCCTCTTCCATCCAAAAGATCCCATGTTAATACCAGCTGTGTATTCTTATGTACTTTTTCCCTAATTTTTGAAATTATACCATATATAGATACCTACGCTTATATACTTATGCAAATAAAAACTGTGGATTATTTTGTCCCCCATTTTACCATCTCTAATTTTCTCATTCAAGAAATACCTTATACAAATGTAGTCAAGTGACTGGCATTTTTCCTTTTAATAGTATATATATATATGTGGAGATATGTATGTATAGTGGATATATACACACATATATATAGTGGATGGTATATACCATGTTTTATTAATTCCCTTATTGATTAGAAATTACCTTTATTCTAGTTTATTTCTACTCTAAGTTATGCTAAGCTAAATATTTCCATATGGTTACTTTATTCTTGTTTGTTAGAGTTAGTTCCAAGTTTTTAACACAATATTCAGGATTGAATGATAAAATAGAGAATTCAGGTAATTATTCAGATTACTTATGTAAACTGTTTCAATTAGGTAAATTGTTTAGGGCTTATTTCTCATATATTTTTAATGCTTTACAACTTAGAATATTAAACTTTTTTCTGTATATCACAATGTAGAACAGAGATATACTTAGGGTGTATTATATGAAGTATGACATGATTTTGAAATAAAGAGGATAAGCTTATTTCAAATCTAAAACTTTAATAAATATTGAGAAATTAATGGAGAACAATTAGTTCAGAACTGTTTACATTGCTCACTTATGGGATTTAATCCAGCGGAAAACTTTTTTGTTGTTTTGAGACTGGAGCTTGCTCTGTTGCCCAGGTTGGAGTGCAGGAGTGCAATCACAGCTCACTGAAGCCTCAACTGCCCAGGTTCAAGTGATTCTCCCATCTCAGCCTCCTGTATCTGGGACCATAGGTGCTTGCCACCACATTTTTTTTTTTTTTTTTTTTGTAGAGATGGGATCTCACCATTTTGCCCAGGCTGGTCTTGAACTCCTGGGCTCAAGTGATTCTCTGGTCTTGGCCTCCCTAAGTGTTGTGATTATAGGCATGAGTCACCATGCCCAGCCGGATTTTTAAACTAACTTTCTCTGTGGACCCATAGTCTCAAAATCCTGGTAATGTAATTCTATTCTCTGTAGGCCTCCAGTACTCTGATTGTAAGATTTCCATAACAAAATTGGGACTACTTTTCTGCTTTTCATTTATAACTTCTAGCATGTTTGTTAATATCATTCTTTATCCAGTGACTGTACAAATCAATGACTAAAGTGAGAAACATTCAGATATAAACTGGAGTAGATAACTAATATTTATTCACCTTTGTAATTTTTTAATAGTGATTGCTACATAATTTAATGTTTTTTGCCTAAGAATAGGTCTATAAATTGATTGAATTAACTTTGGCCTCTGACAATGGGAAGGGACAAGAAGCAACGGATTTCATAGAGAAAACCTTAATAAAAGCAAAATAAGAAAAAAAGGATTATTAATATTATTAACAAAACAATTGGCAAAAGCACACATTTATCTACTTGTCTTTTCTAAATGCAATTAAAACTAGAGTAAAAAAATAAAAAAGCAAACACAAACAAAAAGACAAGAAGAACAAATGAAACATAACAACAATTTGGAAAGACAGCAGGTAAAATTATCAATCAATGCAGACATTTTCTGACATGTATAGTCACCAAATATTTAATCTGGTATACCTTTCTTTGAAAGCTGTTGTAGAATGTGTATCCAGTAAATGAAAGACATAAAACAAAGAAGAGGAAGGCACAATTTTCAGGATATAAGAGACTCTCGTATAATGCATATAAATAACCAACATTTTGTTTCAAGATGAAAGTTTTACATCAGACTTAGAAAAGTCCTAGTCCAGATCAAAGAAGAAGTCTCGGAGATATGAAAAGGAGGTCTTCTGAAGAAAAATGGCTTTGATAGATTAAATGATGCCTAAACATCTGGAATATAATTTTACGTTTAACTGATGGAGCATTTATAAAGAATTAAAGACAGGTACATAGAAAGTAAACTAAGTGAAAAAATAGTTTTTAATAACAGGAATCACAAAAGTACAAGAAAGTAAACAACATCATAGTACAGTACTTGTCTCTGCAATGAACAATAAAACTTAACATATAAAAATACTGAATGTATGCAAAAAGAACTATGGGTATTTAACTTAACAGATTGTCTAAAATTAGTAAAGACCAGTGAGGTATGAGCACATTATTTATGAACACAAAGACTAACCCATAAAAAAATTTCTTTAGAAGTTGAAAACAAATAGTTTTGCAGAGCAGGAGTTTGTTTTTGTTTTTAGGGTAAGGAGTGGGACATTAGTGAATGATAGGTTTTTGGTAAGAGATTTCTAATAATATATACTTTTTGAAAAACACTATAAGCATGTATAACATTGATAAAAGTAAGCATTCATTTAAATAATGGCTGGTGATAGAATATATATTTTTCTCCTAATATTGTCTGGAAACCAAAATAGTAATTATCAACAAATATGAAATTATTGATAAACATTTGCATAGTTGCAAGTTGAAGAAGAGATTAAAAATCAATTTGTTACCCCCCAAAGAATCTATTTGTCTTGACTCTTTTGTAAAACTTTTATTTCTTACTTGTCTCTCATACTGTGACTGTTTTTTCAATAGACTAGTAACTCTAACATAAAGTTTTTGGCTTTGATCATCCATTTTGGACTCTCCCTCTCTCTCTCTCTTGCTCGCTCTCTCTCTCTGTGTGTGTGTGTGTGTGTGTATGTGTGTGTG